GTGCGGCTCACTCTCGCTCACGCACCCACTCACTCACTCACTCACTCACTCACTCACTCACTCACTCACTCACTCACTCACTCACTCACTCACTCACTCACTCACTCACTCACTCCACTCACTCCACTCACTGCACTCACTCCACTCACTCCACTCACTCCCCTCACTCCGCTCCCTCCGCTCACTCCACTCACTCCACTCACTCCACTCACTGCGCTCACTCCACTCACACTCCCCTCACTCCGCTCACTCCGCTCACTCCACTCACTCCACTCACTGCGCTCACTCCACTCACACTCCCCTCACTCCGCTCACTCCGCTCACTCACTCACTCCACCCACTCACCCACTGACCCACTCACCCACTCACTCACGCACTCACCCACTCACTCACTGACTCACGAACTCATGCACCCACCCACCCACCCACCCACGCACGCACTCACTCACTCACTCATACCCCTTCGATATCCTTCGATAGAGGGGTGGGGGGGTTGATTTGGCAAGCAACAACCGGTTGTCGTTCCCTCCCTTGCTCTTCGAGTCGGGGGAATGGTGCCGTGCCATAAGGGTCCATGTCAAGGGGTTTCTATTCCGATATATTCCGATTTAATCTATATAGGTACTTTGGGGGCAACATACCCAAACCCACGCCCCTAACGCCATATGGGCATATGGGCCCTCCAACGTGAAAGAGTCGTACCCGAACTCCTTCCTCAAAGCCAAGTGTTCATATGAGGAATCTGGACCCGCCCTATTATGAAAAAAATCCGAAATTCATGTCTGATCTCGCAGGCACTGCTGACTCAAGAATCAACGTTACTGTGCGCTAAGTTTAGCACAACAGGCATCATCACTTGGAGCCTCTTTGGGTAATCTTGCAGAGTCCAACTGCAGGTCTTGGAGCATCAAGCCGAAGATCAGAATGCTCTAGACTTAGTTGGTCCCCAGTGCTGGCGTGAAAAAGGGATGCTTCGCAACTTCCGGCCATTTTTGCTTGCAAGGCTCAAGTCCCACGCCTAGGCTCCGGCTTGAGGGCCCAGACCCATGGACCATCTACGTAAATGACATTGGCACTACTCCGGGGTACCAATCTCAGACTTCTAAAATGCCTGTAGATGGTGTCTGAAAGTGGTACCCTCAGAGCCTAATCGCAAATCTCGCAAAACGCCAGCGATTTGGACTCGCAACCTCCAAATAGCTTTCCAATTGCTTGTGGACATGTGCCAAAATCGCAAATCGCACGATTTGGGTTCTGAGCTGCGAACAGAAGATCCAAATCGCTGGCTAAGTTGCTTATGCGTTGCTTAGAGGTGGGCGTTGCGGAGGCTTGGGTCGCCCTTTGCAGAATCACTCCAGGCAATGCCTTGGCGGCCGAGGGCGAAGATCGAAACAGGCTCCCGGGCCCTAGGCCCCAGGCTTTATCTTGAAGCTTTAGCTGCCTTAGCTGCTTTAGCCGCTGAGCCCTTGACTCAGGGATCTCGCCCGCCACGCCGCTCTCGATCTCGTAGCAATAAACCTTTTCTTTCATGTCGAATGGCCATGCAACGACTGCTGACAGCACAGTGGCACAGTGATGGCAGCCTTACCTTCGCAGCATCGTGCATCACCAGCGTCTCAGGTCCCGACCCAAGAACAGGCGCCCTGGCAATTCGAGACGTCGTGCACGGATGACTTAACGCGATTAGAGCTTTGACTTATGGTGTCTTCCAATGCACATCGCAGCAGGCGAGCCGCAGCAGTGACCAGGAGCGCTGCCCTCATCGTTCATCAAAGCTGTGGAATTAGGACGATGACTGCGCGTTAAAACCGTTAATTCCCACCGTTGTTGCGTTGGTAGCGAAGACCTAAACATGCCGGATGCTCTGCTTCCACGGTCTCCAGCATTTCGATGGTGTCCCCTGTGTTCACACGGAGATACCTCAGACTCTTCGTCTTTGTCTTGGGGTTTTGAAGGCAATCTAATGAACTAGTAGTTCGATAGACCTTCGGTTATGGCTTGTCGGTTCGATAGACCCTTTCTACGCGAACACAGAATTAAAACCTGGGCCATGCCTTGATGCACAGCTTTCTCCTGATAAGCCCGGGATGCCCGTCGATGTCGTGATGCTTCTGCGCGAACCAGCTCTCTCTCACTCTGTATCTCCTTGGAAGCATTCAACGTGTCATGGACAAGCCCGAACGCAGGTAGGAAACATTCCCCAGTCTGCGGGCCGAGTTTCTGCCACTGCACCCGTTTCTTAGGCGACCTCACCGCCACCTTGGACGACATGGACTTCGAACTTGCAAAGTAACGATCAGCAGCTAGCTGCTGCGGTCCGGCTTGTTTCCACACACTGAGCTCTACGCTACACTCAGAGAGAAGGTCACAATGTGAACCCACGAAACCTATACTGTAGAGCTCGACACCTCAACCTCGCGCTCCAGACTATCCTGGACGCCACTTACCGCAGTGACGCCTCAGGGCATCCGATACGCAAGGTTCGAAATCGCTGTCCTGTTCCAGGACCCTTGCCTGCATGCACTCCTGGCAGGCGGTCAAGAATGTTCGAACTGCAAAATGTTTCGACTTTTATGTCGAATCGTGCGGCTTGAGGAGTCTCGGGTCCTGATTTAGCATACGAAGTACCACCTCTAGCAAGTCCCCTTAAAAACCAAAAACGACAGTTCCGCTCAACGTCGCAGAATTGCCATCTGATGACGCTGTGGAATCACAAGCCCATCCGCGCCTGAGGTATCCATCCGTGAGTATGCTTGTTGTCCTTGGCCGGCAAGTCTGACCCAAAGATGGGAAGCGCACGCATGCGCTCGTCTAGCTGAACCAAGCTGAAGTGCTTTGAAGCCGACGTAGGCCCACCCTCCGCCGGCCTCGGTGCGTGTACTAAACCAGCGCGGAGCTCCATGGTGGCATCCGTTAGAGTGCTGGCGGCTAGTGCACGGGCCAACAAGACATCGCCGTATTCAGGTTTGTGCGAGGATACTCACGGGGCCTTCGCGATTGCCTTATGCTTGGGCCTGCTTGTTTTGACGGATCCAGATCTGGCTGCCAGGAGCATCCTTCTGTCACTTCTGTCTCTGCCTTTCGATCCTGAGCGTCTGGCATGCTCCAGGTAGTCCGACTGCGGGGCTTTGGGGTCAAAGAAATCAGGACAAGATCTGCGGGCGCTGTGCAAGTGCCTTTGCCCATTGCTCATAGTCACTACTCGCAAGTCCAACAATCCTTTAGAATGCGTCAGCGGTTGTTGAACTCAAGACTTTCCAAGGTCCTGTTATCAGCTACTAGTATATACCTGTCCACAACATTCCGGAACCGTTCTCTTCCAAGGCCTATGAGCTGCGACCCCGATTCTGGAGGAAAAGGCACACTTGCCACAGGTTGTATACTGGACGAGAATCTCTGCAGCTTCTGAGTGCGCCGGTGCTGGCATGTGAAAGCTTCTGTGCCTTACAGACTCGCGTGTCAGTCGTCAGGATGAATTACCACCTCAGAGATGACTGCGGACCTTCCCTCAAGCAAGCGGCCTCTAGCGGATCTTGGTAGTAGAGCTTCAGCCGCTCCCCCTTGAGCACTCTCAAGCATATCTCCTCCTGGTCGGTGCGGCGTTTTGCTTCGTTGTTCCAAGTCTTGTCGCCACACTGCCGCTACAGTGAAAGGTTGGTAGAGGTCTTCTCGAGCTACTTGGGAAAGTCGTCGAGGATGCCAGCAATGCAAAGAAGGATCGCTTTCCATGCTCCTTGCTGTCCTACCGTCACAGGAGCATCCCAGCTGGGATGTCTTCAATGCAACTGGCAGTAACTAACAACTACGAATTTCGTGTCAGCGAGGCACATATGGAGGCATACCACTTGAACAAATCACATGTCTGCTGCATGTCGTGTTGTATGCTTAGAAGGACCGAAATCGACAGCAGTTCTTCTACCAGCCGCTCTCCAAACCAGCGCCCAACCACGCGACCGTCTCAACATACTCGTGCGGCGAACAGCTCACACTACTGAAGTCTGTATGGACTCGGACAAACTCGCCAATAATCCAACAAGCAAAAGACAAAGGCTGAGTCCTAGAGCCGCAACTCTGTACCCGGGATCCTCGTGGGAAAGGAAGCTTTCGCAGCAGACCTGGGCTGCCGCCGGTCACTAGGACTCGGGGTCTCGGTTTGCAGCGGCCGAGGGCCACTGCATGATCATGCTCAGAACGCCTGCTGAAAACGACTGCTGTTAAGTGCTTATATTGTTTATATTCGTATATTCTACAAAGCTTCGCAGCTTGCCTTCACCCGTCGGTCCGCTGCTCTTGCTGAGGAAACCTCTCTCTGTGAAACACTCCTGCGGAGCTGACGTACTCCAAGTCTTCCAGGAAGTTGTCCACGTTCAACTGCATCCATGTCTCAAGCAGGCAATTCAGTCGAAGGCCTGTAATGATTGCTGTAATGCAACTGCATCAGCTTGTGCTCCATGCACTCGGCACAATCCACCCTTATACATGTGCGCTGGCCTGCTGCTGATGCATTTCCCTTAAGCCTGCGTCCAGACTGCCAAAGGGCCAAGGCTTCATGCTGGGAGAAGTTTTGGGTCGCAGCAACCAGCACAGGCAGCGCATTCTAACTTAGTTCTGGCCTGATGTTGAGCTCCAGGCAGCGCGCTTAGGAACATTACTTCTCGTACCATGCTCTCACGCGACCCCGGTGGAAGCCACAAAGAAAACGCATGTGGTGCAGACCGTCGCCTTTCATCATCTCCTCGTACCGCTCGTTGGCCTCCTCAGAGCGGCTTTCTGTCTCCATCCATGTCGAAGGGAAAGCCCAGCTTACCACTGGGGGTACTCGGCTGACACCAAGTTGACACCGAGGGAGTTACTGGTTTACGTCCCTACAGACATAATCATGGTGGCGGACAGAGGCTTAAATGGTCATCCAATCGGAGATGTTATGTTCCTCAGGTCAGAAGGTATGGCGATGAGGGATCCGAGAATGAACGCACGCCTCAAGAGATCCAACAGTCTTAGCGACGTAGTATGACGTAGTGGTGAAGCCTGCCCGTCCTACTACCGCATCTCCTGCTCCATCATGCGCTGCTCGTCGGAGATGAGCCTGGCGAGCCGCTCTGCACGGAAGCCCGGGCTGAAATGCAAAACCGAGTGGGCATCGAATAGGGATGGACATAACCCAGGCATCGGCAATCGCAACCTTGGACATGATGACGAAAGGCCTACACAACCCCTGTGCACGCTTGACTGGCAGTTAAAACGAAGGTGTGGGTGAGCAAATCATGAATGAATCATGCTTTCGGTGTAGGATTGCAGCTCGGACCCAGTCTAAAAATGTCTCTACACTGCCTGGAGACGAAGGCCGACCCGACTCAGCCCTAAAGCCAGGTGCCGAAATTGTGCCGGCGCCGCATCAATGCGTCGCGCTGCGAGAGATTAGCCTCCATGAGCCTTGGTCGTTTTTCACGGGTCCTACTTTCAACCTCCGGGCTCAAGCTCGGAGACTCGGGAGGGAAGCGCTTTCGCCACATTTTCAACTGGAATGCCAAGTGCCGCACTTGACTTTGGCCTTGTATTCGGTGCAGCCAGCTGCAAACTGGATCTGACAGAAGGCGCGCATGTTGAATGTGACTGGAGATTCAATTAATTAGGGAGTCAGCGGCTGAGCCTGGCACCCCTGAGCCCTGGCCCCATTGGCCCAAGCCCAGCCTCCTTGACCACCGTCTGCAAAGCAGCATCGGTCATGTCAGCCGGCTTTCCCTGCTGGAATGCAGACGGGTGGACGCAGCTGGGCATGTCGTGCTGCTTTTTGTGGTCTTATGGGAGCCTCAACTGCACAGAATAGCTCTTCAATAGCCGACAGCCCAAATCACATCGCGCCTCCAGCGGCCACTCCCACCTGCGGCTGACTGGGCATGGAATGCATAACCAAGAGACTCACGCCGGTCCTTCAAGGATTGCCAGGTTCAGTTGCAGTGATCTTTGCCTGTTCAGGTGTATGGCGCCGGCATGTACCCCGCCCCCGCCCCCCACACAACCACCAAACTCATATCTACCAGTCATTTTTGATGCCACTTCATACCCCACACCCCGGCCAAATCCTCCCCTTTTTCAACCAACAAGCCGCCAGCCCTCAATGGTTGCTGCTGGGGGGCAGGTGGGCGGCTTTGATGGAAGCTGCTGTGAAACAGTGCTTCCGGGATGCGGTTTGCAAAGGGTTGGTGTCATCTGCTAAGTTTGGTAGGGGAACATGACGGCGTAAGGGCTGCTGGCATGCTGGTTCAAAAATGGGATGCTGAGGATTTGGATGCGTGTGGGCACGTGGTTGGCTGGTTGGTTGGTCGGTCGGTTGCTTGGTTGGTTGAACGAAGATGCGATGAGGTCTGACAAGGTGGAAACAGGTGGTAGAGAGTTTGAGGGTATGCTCGTTGAGAAAAATTTGGTGATTTAGACTCTCGCAAATGTTTGGTGATTTGGGGGCGTGCACTGCTACGAACAGCAGCCGCCAATGACCATGCAGCGGGAACCCGGGGTGTGGGCCCTGCGGCAAACCTTCACGGTGTGGGGCGAAGAGGGTGATTTCCAGCCTATATCCGCGAAAGACACAGCTGCTACTAGTTACAGGGACCTTGGCATCATGCCCGGGTTCCTTTTGGCTTACAGGGCAGTGCTGAACCCAACCTGGCCCTCGAGTGAATAATCTCTCCTCACCTCTCTGCGAGCAAGACACTGCGAATGCTGCCGGTCCGCGTTGTAGTAGTAGTAGGTTCTCAGCGAGTCATGTGTCTTGGATGCAGATGCCGTCTACAGTAGTTGACTTTCACATGTGGCAATGATTTGCAGGAATTCCTTGATGCAGTTGGCCTCAAGAAGCTCCAAGCATGCCTAAAGGCACTGGCACAGCATGGGAGTCCAAAGCCGAGCTGGCGGCAGGTGCTCAGTGGACCAAACGGCCTGGCAACACCGCAGAGTGCACGGCGAGAGCGGGGTGCTGGACGGGTTTCGAGGTCCAGGAAGTCTAGCATGATCGATGTGAAACGCTTGAGTCACACAATGCTCATCACTCGCTCATTGAAAGCCTTACTGGTCGTAGCAACAGAATGTAGTCCTGGGGAGCTTCGCAACCATGCTTGCAAGTCTCAAACTCGAGCAGCTTTTTCAGCCCAAGCCATGTTCGACGTCGCAGTGTCGTTTTTTTTGTCTTGTTCTTCGGACACGAAGGCTGGCTTTGTTAGAGGGTAATCCGGGTACTCCTTGATGAGACTTCTTTTGCTTCCGAGCGGGGTTTTGCTCGACCCCTGCCTCCAATCGATTCCTGCAGATTCGGTTTCTAGTCGCAATCCCATACTCCGCTAGGACCTGCTAGGAGAAATTAGCTAGTACTGGTGCTACGAGTCTCTTCGCAAGCTTGCTCAGCAAAGGTTCAGCCTGCTCTCACATTCAAACATTCTTGCCTTGTGGAAGACACGGCGATTCAGCAATACTCAGGTACAGGCGCAACAGTCGAGGCCAATGGCTCTTGAACGAGAAGCACTACTGGGGAGTAGGGGAGCATATCGGCATGGTAGGTTCCTATGTGCACTGCAGGGAAATAATAACAAGCACTAGGACTAGGAGTTCGAAGCTGCGAGTTACTGGTGGTAGTTGCTCAATCTCGACCCTGGTCGGAAATCTGCTTGCAGATTCCTCGTGCTGTCTTTGCAGGATGCAGCATTGGATGGCAGGGGTTCTGCCACCGAAACGAAATCTTGGACTTCGGACGCTGGAGAGGGACATGCTCGCCCTTCGCCTTGAGGTAGTGTTGCTGGTTGCTCACACGTGACTCCTAGTATTCAACAAGCTGCCTCAAGTCTCTGGCGAGCTTTGGCCGTCCGGAATGCCAGAATACCCAGTCTCCATCCGAGTCCTCGTCCGCCGAGGATGCTTCTAAGTCACTGTCAGAGTCATAGGTCATGTCAATGTGATCATATGGTAACCGTAACATATGAGATGAATGAAAGTTCGACGCCCTAAGCTCAGAAATCTGTGCACGTTGTGTGATTCTGGCCGTGGGGGCTGCGCAAGCTTTCCCTTGCCGTGGCTGTGACCTCCCGCTCTGCCTTGCTTGCCGGGCTTTAGACCTCGGCCCATGCTGTCTGTTCTCCCTCATGGCGCATCTGCACGTTCAAACGACCACATCAGAAGCAGGACACCGTAGGGGTCGCGTTCCGTCATGGCTGCGGCTGAAACTTCGAACAATGGTGCACTATGAAGCGTCCCTGCCTACAGCTGTGTCATACTCGGTAGCAGGTGCAATCGGATCAGTCACCAGTCACTTGCGGTGACGCAGCCCCAGGATAGAATCTAGGTTGGAGTGTCGCATAATGCCATATATTCGTATTCCGTTACGATGGAAGATGCTACGCTGGCTAAGCAAATGCTTGGCCTTAAATCCCTCTTCCTCACGAGCCGGGATAAAGGCTTTCCGGAGCGCACATCTGTAATCCAACGTCTCAGCTGTGATTCATTTACTGCTGCAACGTTCGCCTCAATGCCGGAAGATATATAGTTGCAGCACATAAGGGACCCGAGTATACCTACATCTCCCGAAATAGTAGGCTCCTTACTATGAGGAGCCTGACATACTGGACCATAGTTTTACGAAGTTTAAACAACCCCATACTCGCAAAAGTACGGATTGCTGCACGTAGAACTACTCAGTAACTACTCAATTCCTCTGGCCTGTGTGCTTCTAACTGCTGTGCATCAGGACGAGGTCATCGTCTCGGTGCCAGTGTCGGAGGCTCGGCTGCACTTATGCCGCTACTATCAGCCGAATGGCCCCAAAGCTCACAGGCCGTCTTTCTAGGACAGATTCTAGGATCATCCAACCCCGAACACGATGAACAATCTAAAGCAGCCAAATGATTAGGTCCCGAACAGTCCATCAACCCATCTAGGCTCTAGAGTGCCTTCCAGCCCTTGGGAGTCGCCGGGATCGGTGGTCGCCTTTCTTGTGGGATGAGCTCCTCGGTTGATAAAGTTTCGGGAGGCCGAATCGGCAGGACCATGCCAGGAACTCTGGTATGAACAGTTCAGAAATCGAGACGGGGACAAAGGCAGACACGAACACACAACCAAACGCGCAGATCACCTCCTGGAAATCCTGACTCCCCGCTCCGACTTTGCGATCTTACATCCTCGCGTGCTTCAGAGTAAGCCGCTACCCTGACATATGCTAGGAGCCAGACTGGGAGGTCGAGCTCGGGCTGCTCGTCTTCCTCCTCTATAGAGTCGGATCTGCTGCGGTGTGGGACCCGTACTTTTCTTCATACACCCGTAGCTTCAAGAGAAGGAAGCTCCGCTTCGAACACAAGAACGCCAGGTCCCGTCCTCAGAACCCTCGTCGACTGCGGCATCCGCCTGCGCTCTGCAGCCCTGGATTCCGGGAGCCTACTTTGGCCTACAGCTAGGGGGATCCTGCAAAAGCACATCCAGCTTCTCGTGGTCGTGGCTCAGGGTAGGCTACGGAGATCTAGCTAAGTCGCATAGGGCATCGGACAGCTTTTGAAGCGTGAGATAAGACTGCAAACACTCGCTTGCAGTATGGGCTAGTGCTATGTCATGTGATTCAGGAAATGTCTGAGTGTTGCAAGTCCCGCCAATCCAAGCCACAAGACATGGCTGCTGATCGCAATTTACATGCGGCGGCTATGCTACGTCTCCCTGCCATTGCAATGCATCTGCATGACCGTTGGATCATGGACCCCAGCGACTCCAGCAGCAAGCACACCAAGAACATTGGACAAGGCCTTGGGTTCATGGCCTGAAGCCTTTGGATGCAAAGTGAAAAGCAGTTGTGTAGGTGAAGGTCGCCAGTGCTATCCGATAATCTGGTCTGCTCACTTGGTCATATCTATATTTTATTGTTCAACAACTCTACAGGTCCGCATGATATTACACTCCGTGTGTTCAATTGTGCACAGCAGATTGAGCTGCGGGAAGCGGATGAACACAATCGCTCTGCCATGTTCCGGCCTCCGTGTGGTTGTGCCTTGGCGGGAGACGGACACTGCTGCACGGTCCTTTCTATCAAGGCCCCGAAAGGAGCAGCTACAGGCCATAGTCGTCAACAGTGCGTATGTTCTGCACGAACCTTCAGCCTGCTTGCCATCGGAGTGTGCTGACTCCATATCCCGAGTGCTAGGACTTTAGGATCCGAAGAGAGCTCTCCTGTTGGGTTTCGCTCGAAGGCAGCCTCGGTCCCCTCGAAGCTGAGTCGCTGCCCGGCTGCCCTGCCAAGGGCAGATTGAGCTTTGCCCTGCATCTCTGAGCTTGTCTGCACCATACGATGCGCAAGCTTAACGCGACCGAGACCATCCGACTCTGACGGTCGATGGAGTGTATGGATGCCTCGACCTCCCACTCGCAACCTCTGCAAACAGACAGCGGCCAATCAGCTGAAGGCACCGAAGCACGAACGACAGGGTTTGGACTCGACCACTGGCGGCGGCTGGAACACCTCCCGAATCTATGCTCTCGGAGCTCCACCATCTTCACCCTGGCCTTGGGCAAGGTCCATAAAGGCGCAGTCCGCCGCTTGCGTCAAGTCCACGCCTCGTTGCAGGAGCTCACATTTCAGCAATCTCAGGCTCTGAGGCCTCCGGAGCTTTCAACTGAGTCAGGCTCTCAACATTACTTCACCTCGAGTTTCTGAACCTATGCAGGGCTATGACAAACGCTTTTATTGAGTTCTCCATTTTTGGCTGGCTGGTGCCAACACCGACCTAAGAATTGCCAAAACAAAGCGTACTTCTCGGGACACCAAGCAATTTGGGAACTGCAACTTAGCTGCGGAGGGAACTGCAAATATAGGCCTTTCCGATGCACTTCGGACCTGACTCAGACGGAATATCTCGCGACTCATACAGAACCGTGAACCATATGTACTATCATTGTGGCTTCCAGCGCCCGGCTTTTGTGGACCTGTGACGACCCTGCCGCTTCTCCTCTCGGTCAGGCCATTCCGGCGATGCCGGCGCAATTGCGGCTGATGGCCGATGCTTGATGCCATGAATGGTGCGCACACAGATAGATATATATGTATATAGCTGCATGCATGTATGTGCAATATGTGTATGCTTCTGTCTCTGTGTGTGTGTGTGCGTGTGTGTATGTATGCATGCATGCATGCATGCATGCATGCATGCATGCATGCATGCATGCATGCATGCATGCATGCATGTATGTATTTTGTGTGTGTGTGTGTCTGTGTATGCGTATGTATGCAAGTGTGAGTACATATTATACGCGCGAACATACCCAGGCTTCACAAGTGCTCACGAGGAGCGATCTGAAGGTAGCTCACCCCGAGTTGTGTTGGATTCCCCGTGCCTTGCTCGACGTAGCGCGACAAGCTGTACTCGACCTCCGAAGGCTTCTCGTCATCGCCATGCTCCTGGAACCCCAAACCCTAAACCCTGCTCCGGGCTTACCATGCACCGCAATCCTCAGCTACAAAGCTCCACACATCCAAAAGAGAAAGCCGAAGCAAGGATGTGACGATGACCTCCATGAAAACCAAGACCAACCACCATTACCCCTCTCCACATCTTCACTCCCCGCACTTACTCCCAGCACTTACTCCCCACACTCACTCCCGGCACTTTCTCCCTGCACTCACTCCCCGCACTTACTCCCCGCCCTCACTCCCCGAACTGACGCCCCGCACTCACTCCACGCACTCACTCCCCTCACTCACTCCCCTCACTCACTCCCTTCACTCACTCCCACCACTCACTCCTCACTCACTCCCCTTCTGATCACCCTCACTCACTCCCCTCACTCACTCCCTTCACTCACTCACACTCCCCTCACTCACTCCTCTCACTCACTCCCCTCACTCACTCCCCTCACTCACTCCTCTCACTCACTCCCCTTCTGATCACCCTCACTCACTCCTCTCACTCACTACCCTCACTCGCTCTCCTCACTCACTCCCCGCGCTTACTCCCTGCACTGACTCCTCTCACTCCCGCACTTACTCCCCGCACTCACTCCCCGCACTTACTCCCCGCACTCACTCCCGGCACTTACTCCCTGCACTCACTCACTCTTCGCACTAACTCCCCTTACTAACTCTTGAACACAACAGGAGTTTCTCTTGCTTTCTGGCATCCACAACATACATGCAAAATCCATCTGCAAGGCTTCCCGCCAAAATAGGAGTCGAGCCCCCGTCCTTTGCCAGCATGCCTTGCAAGCAGTCGAGCACATGTTGGACCCAGATCTCGCCATTGGTGCTCTTTCGGACCAGGATTTCCTCAAGCAAAACGTATCAAAGTATCTGCATGGAACTTGGTTCTATACCGACCATAGCTCAACGAAGTGAAGAAAGCTTGAATGTCAACAGTGTCGTGTTGAGCTACTGTGTACATGGGAGTTTCAAAAAAAAAAAGCCCTCAAACGCTGCTGTAAAGGACCAGGAACCAAAGGGCGAAGATGGTCCAGAGTGGACAGCTTCGCCCCATCCAGGCCGATGCGCTCAAAAAGCTGCAAAATCTTGGCCTGTCAGGCACTTGGCTGGGAGGATCCCATTGAACGGCTATCCTCAAGGGGCGCTTTCTTCACAAAGATCTGGATGTTTTCTACCCGTGACTCGAATTTGTCCCGAACTCTCAGGTCATCCTGGGGCCTCCGGCCCCAGAACCGAAATTCAATAGAATCTACCTTAAGGTTTTTGCAAGCCTCAGAAACGTCTTCTCTAAAAGCCTTGCAGCCAATTTTTTTGGGGGGGCGATGCCATCATCTTGCCTCTCGATCTGTTCGTATGAATGCGGGCTTCTCCTGCCGAGAAACGGCGGATAGCATTTTAGGGAGCTCTGAATCTGAATCTATCCCAGCCGGGGCTTCAGCACTTCAGCGAACGACCCCTTGAATTCCACACAGTATTGATATTTCAAGATATTTCCCAAAGCGGCCAACGGAGGGCATGCTTCCTCGCAAGGGTTCAGACTTGAGATGTACCTCAAGCTGTAGATGCTGAAGTTCGCATACATGTAGCCGTGATTACAGCAAAACTCAAAAACAAAGGCACACAACTCAACCCGCAACCTCCAGACTCCATACTTCACATCCCCCTTTCACAGGTTGTCCTTCAGCTGGCCCTTCTTGACCTGGGAACAGTACCAACCCAAGGATTTAACACTGGGCTTTCGGGCTTCACGGGCTTGTTACGGGTTTGTCTTGACGAATGGGGCACTGGGGCATCCAGGAGAGCAGGCACGCTCGAAAGTCCAATTCCGAAGCTTGGGCCCCGAACACTGAACGCCATGGCTCCTGCTAAACCTGCCCCCTTCCCACAGCTTGGCCGAGTTGCCGCTGCAGCTCCAGGACGAATCGAAGCCCGTCATGGCCTCAGATCATGGGCTTCTCTGCCAAGCAACCTCGCCAACTCTGAAAAAGGGGTTTCGAACATCATGCTGCCTTGCGCTTGGGTGTGACCCGATGGATGCGAAGGACGGGCGCCCGCAGCTGTAACGACACCACAAAAGCAAGGCGGACAATCCTACTGATGTTCTGCCCCCCCAGTGAAGCTTCACCTTCAATACAATACAATGAGACATGCTTCCTGCGGCGGCCGATAGCAATCTGCGTGCGTGCGTGCGTGTTGCGGGTTTGCTCAAGTGCGTGCGCTTGCGCGTGCGCATGCGCGTGTGCGTGGGTGTGCGTGTGGGTGTGTGCATGTGATTGTACTCCATTCTATGCTATGTACCAACAGTCTACAATGCATGCTTTAAGCCATACAGCTCTGAACTAAACCGCGCATAAAGCTCGTCATGAAATGCCAAGAGACGAAAACATCCCCGGCTGCTTGGACTGCACTGACAACCTTGGAGAGAGACTTAGGACGTGCTCGGCTGCGCAAGCTTTGCGTCCAGCCGTGCGCACTCAACTGCAGTCGGGGAACGACCGTTTGTGCAACAGGACGTGATGCAGGCTGCGGCTGTGGCTGCTGTGGTGCTGGTGCCGGCGAGGACTTCGCTGCTGCCTCGAATGATGCATGACTCTGTCCTCTCTTTCTTTGCCTGGTGGCTGGCACAGCCTTTGCCGTGCTGAACCATTCCACAAGGCAATTTTTGGCACTCGCGCTCGCACTAACCCGGCCTCCTCTCATGTCGGCCATCAGCTACAGTGCAGAAGCAATTCAAGCTTTCGATGCAAAGCTGGAAGGCAATCTCCAAGCCAAGGCACGTCGTCTTCGCCGGGAGCGGCATGCCTCAGACAGATGGGGAAGCTGGCCAATAGGGGGCTCTCCTCGGCCATTGATTCAGCCCGCCCGCCTTGGATTTCGTGGCTTCAGCTGCAGCTTGGGCCTTCCACTGGGTGACACGGCGCCGCTCCTGCAGCAGAGTCTACGTGCGTTTATGAGCGCATCTTTCGGGGTTACGGCAAGCAACAAACGCTTTTGCTGGGAAGGTGGCTGGGCGGCTGCTTGGACTGCACCGACAACCTTGGACAGAGCTCGGCTGCGCAAGCTTTGCGTCCAGCCATGCGCACTCAACTGCAGTCGGGGAACGACCGTTTGCGGCGACCTGGCCCTTTGTTCAGATCCGGCATGCTGCGGTGACGAAGAGCCTGAGGACTTGGAACAGGGCTTCGGGAAATAATTAGATTCAATAAGACCAATATCATTTGTACGCTCCGAGATGTTGACGACGTCAGCTTTCGGCTGAAATGTCTGTTGAAAGATGTAAGATGATGTAAGCAGACATCCTGTGATTCAACCTGCCAGACAGGAAATATATGAGAAGATTCGGTAGAAGAGCCTGAGGACCTGGAACAGGGCTTCGGGAAATAATAAGATTCAACAAGGCCTATATTGGACCTGTATCATGTGTTGCGAACAGACCTCGATGCCTCGTGCAATTCGCGGTGTCGCCATTTGAGCTATGTAGATGAAGTCTATAACAGTGTGTGAACGTGTTCGGAGAGGTTTTGCAAACCGAACACGGGATCGATCTCTGAGTCCGACAAGCTCAATAAATCGGCAACGTTTGGCTCAAGACCGAGCCACAAGGCTCAAATGCCTAAAAGTTAAAGATAGCTCAGATACCTACTACTGCTAGATTTGATCCAGCCATTGAGTGCGTGTGTTCCGCGCTGCAGACCTCACTGACTTCGAAGCCAGCGAGCGCGGAAAAAGATACAGTGTGTGCCTGCAACGGAAGCCGTCTAGTCCTTTTACTATAGGCCCTAAGGCGACCACAACAAGTACAACGTATTGCTCGGTGAGGTGAGCATCATTCGATATCATCGGATACCAACCCTCGCGCATGTGTAGATTTTCTGGTGTGGAATCACGTGCCTTACTCCTGAGCTCCTGGCTTGGATCGTTCCAGTCGTTCCAGGGGTTGCGAAACTTCGGCATGCCTCATAGCCACATGTCATAACCAGGATCCAAGGAAATGCAGAAACATCAGCGAGGCAACGGAAGTGTACGGCCGCTTCTTTTTTTCAGCACGCGAGGAGGCTGCAAATCTCTACTCGCAAACGTCTGCTGCTCTGCCTCTGCCATAACAAAGCCTTTAATTGATGTATCGCTTCTGCATAGCTTCGTTCGGGATCGTCATCAGCTCGCCACAAGAGCTTCAGGCTAGAAAACAGGCCCTGGAATCGGTCCTGCAAGGACTCCGGTTCCCGAAAAGCTTTCATCAGCTGGGACACCCACTTCTGACGCTGAGGCTTTGTCAGAGTGCGCAGAAGGCAGCCGAGTCGGCCTGTGCACTCCATTACCTGGCTCCAGGCCTCTTCGCTGACTTCCGTGGACTCTGGCAGCAGGTCTTCCATACGGCCAAGCGTTGCTTCGGCAATCCGTTGCTGCACGAATCGGAGACCACGCAACGCATAATTGGAAACAACATGGTGCGCGGCAATCCTCACAGATTTATCCGTGTCGCAGCAGTGCACAAACAGATCTCGAAGGTTTGCGCTGACGACATCGTAGATATCACTCTCTGCGAAATCTGTAAACTCCGCCCTCGCCAGTCTTACGCACCACCATTGGCCTGGGAAGGAAAATGCATTTGGTAAATTGACTTGTTCTACGTGCATCATTGCATCATGCTTTGTAAAACCGCCAAGAGACACTCGAAGATCTTCTGTTGCATGACATCCTTTGAAATCTCGTCATCGAAGGTAAAGGGATCTTCTGAACCGAACTGCCAATTTGCAGAAAATTCGACAACTGTCTCCGACCTGTGCGTTGAAACTCATGGCGCACGACTCCTTCTGGTGTGAGAGTTCCAGAACATCGCGCCTGTCCAAACTGCCCATTTCGGACACGTGCTGTATCAAGGCCTCAGGTTGCACAAGAATGCACTCATCTACGCAATGGATTACACGCGGTGCTGGTCAAAGGAAGAGGTGCACAAAGCTCCCCGCCCTGGGACTTCTGGTCTGGCAGGAAGTCGCTCGCCATTCCAGGATGTCATCCACCTTCAGGCAGGGGCAGGGCGCGCATCTTTCGGATTCTCCTGCTTGAACATGCTTTCAGGCGATTTCACAGCAGATCCTCGCAAGGCGCTACTCTTGAAGGCAGGGCACAGAAAGGTACGGCAAGAGATTGGGCCTCGAGACTTGCTCACTCGAGGAGCCCGTTGCATTGTGCGCTTCCCCAAGTCTATGCTGGAGGCCAAGTTGCAACACGTCGCGTGAGGGGTCAAAGAGGTCTGCACTCGCAGGCGACGTCATAGGAGATGTGTTCCATGACCTCAGGCCAAGAATGGGGCTTCAGCGGTCCCCTGTGCAGATTTGCGACTCTTGCCGCGAGATCCATCTAATGCATCGTAAGCTCTGAGAACGGTGCTCGCCGTTTTCCGTGGCAATGCCCACTACCGCAGCATGCGGCAATGCTGGCTGCTGTGAAAGCTCGTTGCCATGCAGCTTAGCCTTCCGCAAGAGGCTCGGCTAGGGTAGCTCACAGCTGCTAGCCCTTTTTCGCGCCTCGAGAGCTCGACATTCGAGAGCGCCACCTGCTCTTCGGGAAAGGGCAACACCATCAAGCCAACTTTCAACAGTACATATGTGGTGTGTAAGGCCGTGGCCCTTACACGCCCAGCACCCCAAAGCGCACAGCACAGAATGTGACACCCGAGACAAACCATAGCGCCTGCCCCCGGGCCCCAACTCTCGGCGTTGTACCACCTCGCTGGCAGAGCAGCCCATGCGAAGTGACAGCTGAACGAACAGTGAGGCTAGCAGACGCTTGAAGCAAATTGCCTGAACGAGGCATCGCCTGCCGCATCCAACTGGTTGGAGAGATGCAGTGCCAGCTGCCCCACAAAAAGGAGCTGGACACTGTGATCGAATTGCCTCGGAAAGAATCAACTGGGCCGCAACAGCCACGTAGAGCATCGCTGATGCCGCATGCCAGGGCACGACCAGGCTTGCAGCTTCTGCAAGACACTGGAACCATGGCAATGTATCGACGACATATCAGAAAAGGCGCTGACAATCGACACGCTTTGCTGGAACTGCAGGCAACAGCTGCTGATGTGGTTGTCTTGCATAGATTCTAGATGCTGTGTGAGCCAGCTGCGGCCGTCAACGTGCCTTAAGAGCACGTGAAGTGACACACTCTCACAAACTCCCCAAAAAGCAACGAGGATCAGCATTGTGCATCCGACCGTTTTCGCCTTGCCCGGGTAGCCCGAAACTGATGATTATGTGATTATGGAATGCACCAGGCTCCTGTCTCCAGACGGAAAGGGAAGGGTGCAAGCGACAAGGCCAGCTTGGAGCTGAAGGTTGAGAGCATCAGGAGTCTTGTTATTGACGTAGTCCAAATTATTCAATCCTGAAGCCCCACGAAAGCCTGCGATTGGGCGATGGAGCTCCCCACGCTTGGTCCACCGCTTGGTGCTGGCTATGAGCCGAGTCGGCAGCGGACGCAAAAGTTTCCGAGCAGCTTACTGGGTTTAGGGTAAAAGTTTGTGAGCGGCTTAGGCTGGATTAGGATTTGTGTGTTCATGCATGTTTCGGGCCTTAACGTGCGCTTTGGCGAGACTCTGTCAGTTAAAGCAGATCGAGCAGCAGAATGGTACTTGACGGTTAGGCTTCGGGCCGATACATACTTGTATCTTTAAGGGTTTTGTGGTGTTGCGTTCAGGTTCTGTCGGGTGATTTGGGTGGTACTTTGGATAGGGCGTATGGTGTCGTAAATACCGCAGGCCGTGATCTTGCAAGAACTGTCATCACAAACGTGCTTGACGATGGTCTTTGAACCCACGTCAGCGGGCTTCAAGCCGTGTAGGGATAAGGCACTTCGCGCTGAAATGCATCGACTCCCAGAAGCCATACATCAACCGTAAGCCTGCAGAAACAGTATCAGGGTTGCCCCACGACAGGGACCATTCTTGTCAACACCTCAGAACTGCTACAACCCTATGCGACTTCGTGTAGCAGGAATATGAGCCTTGTTGAAGTCAGTACAAGCCCAGAGTCCTAATACAAGCAATCAGAGGCCGCCGACCAAAAGAGTAGGCCTGAGTAGGCTGTCTTATTCTTAAGGTACCATGGTTTCTCTGCGCAAGACAAAACCAGGAACCGTCAGCCCTAGATTCTGAACCAACTCAAAAGTGCCTGTCCGAAGCAGTTGGTACGGTGCACCGATGCGCCAGCTTGAATCAGCAGCTGGACCTGCATCCAGGTCAAGGACTGCTTGAGGTTCTCTTAATGGCTTGAGGCTTCGGGAAGCTTTGTTGTACATCATGTGAGGGTTTGCAGAAGCTTGTGAGGTCTGGTTCAGTGTAGACTCTCAATGCATGAGGGTCTGGTACACGATGTTACGTATAACCTCGCTCCCCTCAGATGAGCGTTGTGTAGAAGATATAGTTGTGGTGCCCACGACAAGTATGACAATGGTTTCCCTTTGCAGGCAAGCGCTGTCCACTCTTTTGCTTCTCGGGCTCGAGCCAGCTGCTGTCTATGCAGAAGGGCTACACGCACTTGGCAATGGCAGACGGAATCGCAAATAGTGCTAGGTCACTTGTTTGTTCTTGAGCCAAACGCCGATTTAGTGAGCTTGTCAGACTACGAATCGGACTGAGATACATCATGTCTGGGTCTGTACTTGGTGCCCGTGGCTTTCCAAGTTCAGTGCCTGCTTGGTAGGTCGTACCTTCCCAAGCTTCATCATAAACGTGGTAACACAGCTCAAAGCAGAATTGCACTAGGCTTCGATATCTCTTCCCACCCCCATGAGTGATGCCTTAGGCTTTGCTCACACATAGGAAGAGAGTCGCGAAAGTTGAAAGAAAGATTGAAGCTCAACGGCATATTGGTTGTTTGTGCGTGTAAACTGCCCTTAATTACATCCGGTGTGAGACATGACGGCGTCGAGTGCGATCCCTAGTTCTGGCTAGAATGAAAGAATCACATCATCGAAGAAAATACGCACGAAATGTGGTGCATTACATCATGTCCACTTGCGGAGTTGTAGGCAATGGCATCGGCAAAGTGCACGTCGAAGATCACCCGTCCCAACGATTGTTGTTCCATCGTCATTGATCGTAGCGTCCTCCTTGCCATCGATCGTATGCTTGTTGATTTCGTTGCCAACGTTCCTCCGCAGGTGGTTCGGGAGGTGACTTCGTTTTGGCTTTTGCTCTGGCCTTGGATGCTGCTTTCGCCGTGGCGTATGCCTCCAGAGCTTCATCGACTTCCTCTGGTGTCACTGGCTGATCAACAATAATTCGCTGTCCTGCAGGTAGGTAACCGGGAGCGGCGCTCGCAAGGTGACCTTCGCCGTGCAAAACTGGCCAGTGGTGCTCAAGGCGGCACCCAAAGCAGGCATGAACATACCAGGCTGGATGGTGAGCCAGGACCCATTGCAGGAGCTGACGCAACAAGCCAAAGCTCGCGCCGAGGCTCCTTTGCGACAGCACCTTCCCAAGTACTACGGCGGCTTGTACTTGTGGGGCGACGTGGACTTCCAACTTGCCGGCGAGCTGAGCGAGGACAGGGAGAAGTACGGCAGCATCGTCGCGGCCATCATGATCTGCGATCGTGTTGCCATCTCCATGCAGGACGTGCTGCTGCGGTTCTGGTCTCAGCCCTTGACAGTGGCGTTGTGCGAGCAGCACGCGCTCTGGGATTCGAAAATGGATGCCTTCGGCTTCGAGGACGGAGACTTCGCTCGCATGCAGTTCTTGGACGTTGCGACCGTGGAGGAGCGTTTCTTCACCCTGGAGACGTCGTGCGAGGGGCAGTTGTTGAGCGAGAGCATGAGGGGGTTTTGCGACCACCGACCACGCGCTGGACTTGCTCCGGTCGAGCTTCCCCGACAGGACGTGGCGGGAGTGGCTGCTGCCACCATCGGGTATGCGCCGCAATGCATTCCCCTGGTAAATTGGTCTTCGATTGCTTGCCCAGCCGGAGATCCTGTTGAAGTTTGCCCTGGCCCTGGCGCCGCTGCTTGCCCTGGCCCTGGCCCTGGCCCGCCCTGGCCCTGGCGCCGCTGCCCCTGCCCTGGCCCTCCGTGTTGGCGAGCTCTTGTCAACTTTGACACGAACTTGAACGTCATTGGAATGTCCAAATCGACCATCATCGCCAAGAGTTGAATGGGGCGCTTGTCCCAGGTGTACAGCATACATATACCGAATGGGTCAAGGCATAGCACGTTGTCGAGAGTCGTCTCAGATCTCGGAGTCAACACCGTGTATTGCCGATACCCTTCGACTTTGCTAACAGTCTTTGACAACAGCATGGCGCAGCTTGAGTGCACCATGGGCATCTCTGGGGTTTGTCCATCGCGCATGTGAGATTCTGGCTTGAAGTGTTGCCGTCGGTAACCGAGTTGAATGGCTCCAGGCTGGAACTGTGAAATCAACTGATTCGTCCGGAACTTGGTGAGAAGATGAATCCCTGTAGGGTCTTCACCATCGTTCAGGCTTGCGCCAAAGGCAAGTACCTCTTCGTCGGTAACATCTCGGCAAATACCAGTCTCTTCATTCAGCTGTGATAGATTAGGTCTCCAATCGCCACGAGCATCATGTCGTTTGTTTGCATTGAACATTTCCTGCATAGCTGCGAATGGAACTTCCAGCCACCGCATGTGCCCTGTCCAGCCGTTGTAGATGTGAGCGGTGATCATGAACGCCATGTAGCGAGCATAACCTCCTGACGAGTCAAGGATGTGCGCCTCGTCGATGTGAATGTAAATGGGTACCTGCAAACTCAATCTGACATGTGCAAGTTCCTGGTCCACGTGGAATTCAGTGTCAAAAAGGAGAACCGGTTGGCGAGAATTCACATAATCTGGATCATCTCCTTCATTGTCGTCCACGTCGAGCTCCATCTCCGGTTCGGCGATAGTGCGAGTGTCTTCATCATCTCGTTCATTCATCGGGGCGTCGCCGTCCTGATCGACCTCTGGTTGTGGTTCTTCCTCCATCGGAACATCATCATCTTCCACTGGAATAGCGGCTGCTTCTTCCATGGCTTGTGCGATCTCCTGTTGGGGAATCTCCATTGGTGTTTCATCTCG